AGTAGATAATGCACATTAAGTAGACAGAGGACAAATGTCTTTTCTCAGCAGTTTGCTATGAATGCTTGGTAAACATTCTCTGGAACAAGGCTCAAGTGATTGCAGCTTGTTTTTCCTCTCATCAACATAAAAGAACATGAAGTTGACATAATTTAAGAACAAGTATATATTGTGACCAAATAACTTCATGCTCCTCCACTGATTCCTGCTTCCGCTCTGCTCATTTTTAAAACAAACAACCAAAGAATAAAACCAGATGGAATATATCAATATTTTCATTAAGCAAATTAAAGGGAATCTCTGACCCTCGATTTAATAAGCTTTCCAAATTATTCAATACTGTTAGAAAGTTTTCCAAATGCTTTATGTACAAAAATATCCATAGACGTTAATGGTGACCTCTGTAGGTAAATCATTTGGAAAGCTTATATAATTGAGGCCTTAATCAAAATGAAATAAATTGTTCAAACTGTTTATAAATGGTTTGCCAACTTTCCTGGATACTGCTGGACACCCAGGCCACATCCCCTGCATTTGGTATTCTCCAGCAGGAGTAGTCTGATGTCTCTAGAGTAAAGCGTAAGAGTCTGTAGAGTAAAACATGGCCAACAGTTGATAGTTGATGCTTTCAGGCAATGAGAGTGGTTCTGCATGGACCAGCTTTGCTTTTTTGGCGTACTGTGGGATGGTGTCAGGAAACTTATTGCATGGTAACCACTGCAGCAGGATGTAGCAGTAACCGTCCTTAGATTGTTCTTTTAAACAAGCTTCCTACAGTGGTTATACTTCATATCATAATTTCTTTCTCACTTTCATGAATTTTCTGCGGATGGATCATGACAAAGAGTTTGCTAGGTGTCAGGGACCGGCAAGAATAACTGGACATCCATGAGTAATAACAAGCAACAGGTGGATCAATCAAAATGATCAAAACCAATACCAAACACTTTTTAACCCCTTATGGACCAATCTTCTGGAATAAAAGGGAATCATGACATGTCACACATGTCATGTGTGCTTAAGTAAAAGAAAAAAAAATGATTGGCTTGTCATATGACAAGAGCCTAGATCCATTTTGAAGAGTAGGAGTTGACAGGGGGGTCGTATTTGCGTGAGGGCTCTGGGCAGGTGCCCATTTGTTGCGAGATTAAATAAATGAATGTGTTATCCAAAATAGGTAAGGACTGATGTTAGTAAAAATGTTGCAGCACTCCAATACGCCCAAATAAACCAAAGAAAATTTCTGTCACAAATAAAATTGGATGTTGTGACAGATGTCGCTTTATTTATGACATAAGATAGGCAGAGGGATAGTGAGAAAGCAGAAATAAAAACCGAAATAGCCTAATCTGTCACCTACAAATACATAAATAAATGAGTTATAAAATAAAAAGATTCAACTTCAGTCCACACCATCTACCCAACCACCATATATGTTTGTTATGTGTGTTAGGCTATGATTGCTTTTGCTCAAAATCTCTAGACCTTCTGCACTCATTAGCTGGTCTGATATAATTCTAATGTAGACTGTAACATACTGGAGTTTAATGTAAACATAATCTACTTTGGTAGAAATTGGCATCAGGAGTGTCTTGCGTTTAAATCGCAAATCAGCTGTTTTTTTCACAAAGTCATTGACTTGATATTTCAACAGATTATTTTTAACATCAAAACTAGCTAATCATATATCTTCTTCCACAACATAACATGTTGTGTCTGTCAACATTTTCTATTATTTAAAGCCAGGTTTTACTTGCTCTATAAAAACACCTATAATACTTATCAAGAAAATCTAGCACAAGTTGGACACATTATCCACACCATTGTCATGAAGGTTCTATGAGCCAACAATGAGTGGAATGTTTCTTAAGGCCGTTAATAATTTAGAGATACAATCAGCTCACAAATCTCTTGTTTCTGTTGAAAATGTTATGAAACAAAGAATTATTATATGTTTGAGCGAAAATTAATATACAGGATCAGAGAAGGTAAATGGAACCATGTTCAATCAGATTAAAAGTCTAATTAACCATTCTTTAGGTCCAAGACACTCATGAGAACACATTTGCCAGTTACAAATGAGGGTCACCAATAAAACTTGTTCTATTGGTGGCCCTTGAGGTCTAGTTAAATTGTATATGCTATGATAATATGATGATGTGATTCAATAAGAAAACAGGACTTGTTTTTTCTAAATATGAATATTTACTCTCATTCCCCCTTACTATTTTCAAATGGAATCTTTTGCACTACTATGATTAGTCCAGTACAATATTCACATACACTCACAGCTGCCCACTGCTATCTAAGAATGACTGACAATACTATAATATATACAACAATAACAATATTATATAATTCAATAGTCTAGACTTCTTCTCACTTTCATGTATCACCTCCTATTCTGTGACTGGCTTACCAAAAAACTTAAAGGAAACAAGTAATATTTCTATTATCAAAGAAAATAAAACATTACATGTAATATAGCCTTGTTCTATATTATTATAAATATGTATAAGTTTATAACTAGTTTAAGTGAATCGCCTGATTTTCCATTGATGGGCCATTTTTAGCCCACATTGGTTGGAAGCGCATGCTTACTATTCATGTGACTCATCTCCCCTGCTGCTAAAATTACAACCCCATCTGATTTTATATTGTAACTTTGATATGGCTGTTTGCTACTATCAATATTTGTACTTAAATATTAAAACCCAGCATTTCAGTATATTCAACCCCAGGCTTCCTATTATATTTAATGAAAGCTAATATCTACATCACTATAAATACTATTGCCCTACATTTTAGGCTTTTCTTAGTGATTCGTTTTTTTTTTCCTCACAAGTCCCTTTAACCCCTTAAGGACACATGACATGTGACATGTCATGATTCCCTTTTATTCCAGACGTTTGGTCCTTAAGGGGTTAAAAAAAGCCGTTGCTGTCCATTATTTGATTATCAGATTTGTGTTTTTCAATAAAATCAGAAACTGTGTTTTTTTTATGACTAAATGTTTAGCAGCTTTAGGCAGACTGCAGTGAATTTATCATTACCATAAATGGAACGCTGCTCGTAGATTTCATATGCAAAATATAATTTATTATATCAAGACGTCAGAAAATAACCTGAAGAAGTGCGACTTTATGAAGCTAACTATATAAGCCTAAGGCTAGTCTCAGGTGATTTATTATGCTGTCTTCAGGCATTATTGTCACATCTAGTAAACATTATCATTGCAGTGTACATGGCTGTTGGCATGGAGAAACACATCTGTATAAAGCAGGAAAAGGAGAACATATTGTATAATTCGGAAAATGCATCCAGTAATGACTATATTAACCCCATATATATTTATATTGAGATAGGTGCGTGACTTGCATAGCACATACATTTCACGCAGTTTAGGAAGTAGTTAAGGATTTGTGTAGTTGTTATGGTGCTATAAGTGTTTAAGTGCTGCCTCCCTGCTTTCTGCCAACTGCTGAGTGGTTTAATGCTCCTGGAACCCAAATCCCTCTAACCCTAAATGGATGTGTAGTAGATGTATCAATGCATGGTACAGGCAAAGCTAAAACTCCATAAAATTAGCTTCACTGAGGATTAGAGGGAAACATGTATATATTTATATACACACTCCTAGATAGCTACATTCACAGGTACATACTGCCAGACAGGTACACAGATACACATTGCCAGTCATACACACACAATACAGAGAGACGCACTCATAGACACACACACACACACACACATCAAAATATATATTATACATGTTTCTAGGGATCCTTGTGTTTGCTACTTTTTGCCACAGGAAGATGGCTTTCCGGAATCTCAAACATTACTGTGTAAATTGTACTTAATCCCTATCTTCAAAATTAGGAGGAAGTAGGTTTTGACCCAGAGAGGGAGAAACAGGGCAATAACTTCTCTAATACCCGACGTTGGACCACCTGTGCTCCATTGTTTTGCATTCATTTGCCCTTCTTGGGGACACTTCCCCAAGCAGACCAAACTTCTTTGATGATGACAACACGTTGACTTCACTGCCACTACGCTGGTAGCTGAAGGGATTTTATGCACTTTTTATGCAAAAGAGCATAGGTTGTATGTACCATAACAGGTATACTTTAAGGCCAAAGTAGCTCAACTGGAAGTATAGCGGACATTGAGATGTTTCCAGTTTGGCAATTGTCGCCTTAAAATTATAAATTTACTTTGAATTCTCAACAACTCTTACCTCATGGAATAAACCAGTGATGTTTATTTACTAAACACCACATTGTGTAATATTTCCAACTCATCTATTTTGCCTCCATGTTGCAATCAGGTTTTTAATTCACTGTAAAATGTAATTTGGATGGTGTTAACGTTAATTCTTCTTAATTTCTTCTTGTCTTCAGTTGATTGATATATATACGTCTTTTGTATATATAGTCTTGGGCCAAATGCTCGCCACAATAATATATGTCTATATTATTGAAAAGTAGTAATACGCAATCTGACTTACGGTTTCTTCAGGTTTATTCTTTGTTACGGATACATAATAAAACATAATAAAGGATGTTACAGGATAATGGACATTCAACAGCAGATGGTAATTGCTGTACTTCTGATGGGAGAGTTACATCGTTTTACAGAGCCAAGAGCCAAGCCAAGACTGAGAGTGACCTCGTGTCCCTCTGTTACTATAAAGATGTGCTAATACTAACGTCAGCGTTTAACTCTTGCCATATAAGGACAAGACCCCCACACCCACATTCCAGAGCTCTCGGACACAGAAAGCCTTGTGACTTATTGATACCATCTGTTACTTATGTCAATCCACACATCCATATATAATCAATAGAAACATAGAATATGCAATATTCTACATTCACCACAATTCCTTATCTAGTGAATAAAGCCCATGTGTTTAAACCAAGACCACTGTGAGGTTGCCATTTTAGAATCTTTAAAGGTAACAATTCTTCTAGTTTTGCTGTTTTAATGTATGTTTTATACTGCATCTTTTTAATGTATTAATGCATTTCCTATATTGTATTAAAATATAGAGGGTCATGTATGCAAACGGTTTCTCTTTAATGAAGGGGTTTGCACCTGTAGTCCCTAGCTTTTCAACCTATAGTATGCATACCACAGGAGGTACACGAACCAAAAGCAGGCGGTTTGCCAGGAGCAAATGGAACTCCAGCTCAAAATAGTTCCAGACTGGCCCTGCTACCACTCACGCTGTGCTAATCAAGCAAGTTAGACAGTCTCCAATGGATGCCAAACTCACTGAATAGCTTCCTCAGCTCTGGGGTGATAAGTGTGTGCATTGTCCGATTCCAAGCTCTCCTTGGTGGTGGCAGGCGAGATGATATCATCTTTTTAGGCCGCCCATGCATTGGTCCTGTGAGGTTAAGAAGGACGAGTTTGTGGGCAAGGCCAGCCTCACACTGACCGTGACTGGTTTTAGATGAGACAGTAAGGCCTCAGCTTTCTGCCTGCCAACCAGTATTTGCATTTACAGGGACAAATTGAGTCCAGGTGTCTAAAATACAGTAAGTGATAACCAAACCAAATAATTTAGGGAACCAGCAAACAATGGAAAAATTTATAGCAAATTGAGTCAATTACATTTATTTACACTAGTTTATACTCAAGTCCCTCCAAAATTCCAAATTGTAAGAGATGTAAGAGGGTTGGATTACTGCAGATGGTATCCACAGCTTCAAACTAGTGTTTGGTGACAAATCTTGTTGTTGATTTTTTTACCCTAATGAAGGGACAATGGGTTAGCTAGAGCAGTGGTGATACAGTGTAGGTCTTATACGAGGTACTCATTAACTGCGCAGGGATACCAAGTACACAGAAAAATTAAGGATTTGTTTTATTTTCAAATACATAAAAAACAACGTGTTTTTGTGTCAGTGTCCTTTGTGTGTAAATGTGTGTATCAGTGTCCTCTGTGTGTATTTTATTTTCGTTTTATTACATTTATACTTCCGATTAATAGTTTATACACTGCTCTTTACATACACAATACTCACACTGTAAAAACCAAAGAAAAGAAAAAGTTACCTGTGCTCTCTAGTTAATCCCTATGTATATTTAGACAAATGGAGGTCATTTAGTTGCTCCAATGGCCATTGGAGGGAATGCCCGCCTGCAGCCTGCTTCCTTGAGCTTCTGGCAAAGATATCTCTAATGAGACAGAGAGGGGTATTTTTTATATACACCCCTACATACTTATTAACCCTTAATAGGGAACACATGGTTTGGGTGGCAGCATTGTAACAAGGCTGTGTAATACAAAGTAAATACAAATACAAAAAGAGAAGTCCTGCGCGCACTCCCATCACTACTGGGCCCAGCAACTAAATGACCTCCATTTGTCTAAATATATAGAGGGATTAAGTAGAGAGCGCAGGTAACTTTTTCTTTTCTTTGGTTTTTACTATATATTGGGGCTGATGTGTACTGCAGTCATTGCTGCCGGCCCAGGAGTGATGGGAGTGAGCGCAGGACTTCTCTTTTTGTATTAATACTCACATTGTGCCATAATTATTTTAAAAATATTCTTTACTACCTTTAATCGGGTTTGTTCTCCAAAATGGGAATAATTTAAATGTCAGTGTCTACCAGGTTCATTTGGATTTTAAATCAATAAATAGTTTTATCGAGGCAGGGGTACTTTGGAATTTATTTTTAGACTTGCACGGGTACTTCTGCCCAAAAGTTTTAGAAACACTACTATTGTACACCTAAATTATACAATGGCACATGAACTGTTCTAGGCACTTCTTTGAAGAAGAAAAATATAGCAATTTATTCCATCAAACAAAAAGCTCTATAAAACATTGATGGAATAAATTGCTGCAGTTATTGTCTAAAGAAGTCCTATGTGTGTTGTTCTAAATTCCTTAGTTAAGTTAATTCACAGTAAAGCAGAAATGTAATCCTTACTTTCTAAAAGAATGTTCCCCTTCATTAATTTGTTCAGCATTATATAGAATACAAAAGGGAATTGATAATTACATTTCTAGTCTCTAAATAAGAAAAGTGGTTGATATGATGTATTACCAGTGAAGAATTTATTTACTTCATGAATAATACACAGGCTTAATTATATAATTTGTTTTTAGTTTTGTTTTCAGAGACCACTTGGTTGTGCTTTTCTTCTTTTTTATTTACTTAAAGGGACAATATACCAAAAAATTTTAGTTCATTGAAGCAGTTTTAGTGTATAGATCGTTCCCCTACAGTATCACTGCTAAATTCTCTGCCATTTATGAGTTCAATTACTTTGTTTATGCAGCCCTAGTCACACCTGCATGTGACTTGCACAGCCTTCCTAAACACTTCCTGTAAAGAATCATCTAATGTTTACACTTCCTTTATTGCAAATTATATTTAATTTAGAATTTATCTCCTGATATGTTATAGCTTGATAGACCCTGCAGGAGACTCCTGTTTGTACTTAAAGGATCACTATAGGGTCAGGAACACAAACATGTTAGACTCAGAAAAACAAGCTGTCTGCTGACATCATCAGAAGTGGTAGCCTGATCCAATCACAGTGCTTCCCCATAGGATTGGCTGAGACTGACAAAGAGGCAGATCAGGGGCAGAGCCAGCATGATTCAAATACAGCTCTGGCCAATCAGCATCTCCTCATAGAGATGAATTGAACCAACGAACCTCTATGAGGAAAGTTCAGTGTCTGCATGCAGAGGGAGGAGATACTGAATGTTTGGATGCATTTTAGGCAGCCATTACCCAGGAAGGATCTCTAACAGCCATCCGAGGAGTGGCCAGTGAAGTCATCACTAGGCTGTAATGTAAATACTGAAAAAAGCCTGAAGGTAATGATTCTACTCACCAGAACAAATTCAATAAGCTGTAGTTGTTCTGGTGACTATAGTCTCCCTTTAAAGTTCAATTGATAGAGCTGGAGATAAACACTTTTAAAATAAGTTACATCTGATTGAAAATTAAACCATATTCTTTTTCATGCAGACTGTATCAGTCACCGCCAAGGGAGGTGTAACTAGGGCTGCATAAACAGAAACAAAAGTGAATTAACTCCTAAATGGCAGAGAAAAGACTGTAGAGGCATGATCTATCCACAGGGCCGGTGCAAGGATTTTTGCCGCCCTAGGTAAAAATGATTATGCCGCCCATTATCTTTAAAAAAAAATTATTTATCTTTTTACACAATTTTTATGGGGGGGTTGGGATGGGTGTTAGGCTTGAATCTATGTAGGGACAGCAGCACTATCTCTTTTGGAATATAGGTTTATATTCCTAACACTATAGTGTTCCTTTAAAAGTATTGTTTTGTTTTTTAATTTGTGCACAAATGCAACTCATTGTGCACAAATGCAACTCATTGTGCACAAATGCAATCATTGACATATACATACATATACATAATCAGTGACCCATGCACAGATAAATTCACTGACCAATGCAGACACATCCATACTGACCCATGAAGACACACAGACACACTGATCCATGCAAACATACACACTGATCCATGCAGACACACATACATTTGTCCATGCAGACACACACGCATTCACACTGACCCATGCAGATACACACACATAATGATCCATGCAGTCACACACACACGATCTTTGCAGACGAAAACACACTAACCCATGCAGACATACACACAAACTGACCCATGCAGACACTCACTGACACAAACACACACACTGACTCATGCATACATACACACACTGACACATGCAGACACACACACACTGACACAAACATACACACTGACCCATGCAGACAGACACACACTGACCCATGCAGACACACACTTACACAAACACACACACACTGACTCATGCATACATACACACACTGACCCATGCAGACACACACTGACACAAACACACACACTGACCCATGCAGATACACACTTACACAACACACACACACACACACTGACTCATGCATACATACACACACTGACCCATGCAGACAGTAAGTGCAGGGCAGGGGGCAGGAGCGAGTGAGAAGTGCACCCAGTGAAAGGCCTACTGGGACACTCTCTGCCGCCCTTCCTCGTATGTCCACACACACAGTGCAGAGGGCGGAAGCGCATGGACGCTGTGCCTGCGCGTTACCTTACGGGATGGGGATCCAATGCAGCCAGGGGCTGGCCAGGAAGTAATTCAGCACTGTGTAATAAATGTCGCTAATGCCTGGCTGCAATAGTGTTTCTGGACAGTTTTATAACCGTTACTGGGTCTGTCTGGACGGCCCGGACAGACCCAGACACTATTAGCTGGAGGTTTGCTCCAGGCGCCCCCAAGGACCTGGCGCCCTAGGTGGCCTAATGGAAGCGCCCTGGTAAAACAAGGCTGTATGATGCAAGTTCAGAAACAAATAATATGAAATTCTGTAACTATGCAGTCATTGCAGTTTACCACAAAACCTCTCTTTCACTCTCTCTCACTCTAAAGATTTATATGTATATATCACTATAGGTTGCAATGCAGATAGGATGCCTCAATTAATGCTGTTAGGCTTTATTCACTAAACAGTGAACTGTAGTTAGTGAATAATTTTCTTCATTTAGACAAATCATCTGATTTTGGAAACTTATCCAGCTCAGCTATAGTCCCAGATTGGCTATTTTACTGGGAAGTTTGTAATTAAGATTTTAGTGTATTATTACCATAAAGTAAAACTCGTGGTGGATTTTAGTGCAAAGAAATACACAATCTGATCACTAATTATACATATTTGCCAATAGGTTTATAATATTTTCCAAACCTCAGTTTAGTGAATACATTTCTTAGTATTAAGAACTGTTTGTTTTGTTTTATTTTGGTAGGATTATCTACAGTCTGACTCATTGCCATAATTATTGATGACTGTTGTAGTTGTCAAGCACGTTGTGTAAATTAAATAGCTTAAATGTGCCTGTGTACAGTAACATGAATGGAAACAAATGTCACTATTACTACTTCCCTTACATTAGAGGATTGTTTTAATGTGAAAATCCAGAGTTACTGCTTTTAATTTTACATGTGCAAACCTTAGCCACTAATGTGCTGTGAAACCCTCTCTCAGTCTCCCTTTTCCCCAACAGACAGCAGCACTCGGCAAACACTTCTGCAGTTATTGAAGTTGGTGTTTACATTCGCTATGGAATAGGGTGGCCAAAAAATACAATTCCTATATGTTGTAGTACTGCAAATCATTTGATGCTTTTCCAGCC